GTGTGTGCGCGTGTGTGTGTGTGTGTTGTTTAAAAAGACCCCAGATTCTCTCTCTCAATCCGTTCACAAATCATCACAAGCCATCCATAGAAAATGCAAGGTTGGCCACGTTTGTATGGTTCAGCGCCAAGTGCCCATACACCCGTCTGCCGCCAAAGTGGCACACTTGCACATATGCATACACATACATATATATTTCAAACCATAAGGGGATGGAGGGCAGAAGGCAACTTCCATAAGACGGAATGTGTGTGTATGTTCCCCTCTGGGTGAGTGTGGATGCGTGTCTGTTCTCATGTTCGCTATGCATAACTACACAAAAAAATGCATGACAGTGCCAGATTGTTTCGTCAGACTTTCACAGACTCCTCAGAAGGTTGAACCCCCGAAGTCTTCCCAGGATGCATTTGACTGAGCATATTCTAGATTTTCACCACAACAGCGCCTGTTCCACCCACATGGGCAGATCCACAATTAAAGCAGCTTTACCTCTTTTGTAGACAATGAAGCACACTTGATGCGCCAATACAACGATGAAGCAGTTTTACCTCTACAGCAAGCAATATGGAGCAGAATAGATCCGTTGTATCCCTTTCTTGACTATCTTTACTTTGGCTTTCTTTGGGGTACCGCTTCCGTTTGTTCTTGCAGGTCCCTTTTCACTGTGCCTCTCACGTGCAAGGCTGGTCATGATGATTGTGGTTGAGCACCAACTGCCCACATGCCCATGTGCCATAGTGGCCCACTTCCACGTTATGAAAGGAGGCAGAGTAAGGGGGGAGGTATACTCGTGTTCATTTTTCTTCAGATCTTCAGCTTATATTTTGCCTGTTCTCTTCATGGTGCTCATTCGTATGCATCTAAAGTAGTACAGAAGAGGAGGGATGAAGGAAAGGGGTAGCGGGTGGACTTCTATAGGAAGTGAGCGGTGAGGGAGGGACAAGGGGGAGAGAGGAGGGAAGTGGAGGGGCAACGCACGGAACAGAGGAGAGACAAATTTCAGACGGTTCCCAATGCTCACAGCTGGAGCAGACTACTCTAGCAGGGCACAAGAAGAGCAGCCGTTGCCTATGGTACTTGGCCACCGCCACAGACCTGACAGGACCGGTTCGCGTGTGGACTGTGGAAGCACCGCATTCAATTCTTGCAGTTGCAGTTGCTGCACCGAATGGCACGGCGTAGACAGATGTCACAGGCTATGTGGCTCCTCCATGCTAGGAACACAGAGGCATGTGAACCGCAATTGCATAAGGCAATACCATTCCAGCCCCTGTAAACAAATTGGACATGACATGTCAGGGTTCCGTACATGATTGCAATGTTGACTGTCATCATATGCATGCAAACCAAAGCTTGCATGGGCTATGTCTTCACAATCCTCACGACACAACCCATGCGAATCGCATGCTCTGTGCCGAATCTGAGGCGGGCCATCAAAGAGTGGCATTGAACAAGTGTCTTGGGTTTCCGCAACCATTATGCCCTCTATGGGCAGGCAACGACAGGGACTGATCAAAAGTAAGGTATTTGGTCTGCAACAGCTCGTCTTGGAAACGATAACCTTTCATTACAACGCACTGTAGGTGGTTGAAGTGCAATAGGAGTACGGACTACAGGTCTAAAATTAGAAACCTCAGAAGGGCAACGTGCATACTACATACCTCGCATTCGGGACTAAGCTTGTTTACAGCCTCCTGCCACCAGACATCTCTTCCTGGAACAAAATTTGACTCTTCCCTCTGCACACGACGATCATCACCAAAGTAAACTTCAGTTGAGCCATCATAAGATTAATGCTTCGGGAGTCATGACCATACAGGTAATCATCAGTGGCACACCCGTCATGACTGCTGCCTGACCATGCCCTCTGCAATACAATAAGCAAGAGCACAGAGCGAAACGTTTCCCTTCATGTGATTCTCCTTTGTTTGCTTCTTAAACCATCGGTACCCCCGAAAGCTGCGGCGCATACACTGCCCAGCCGCACTCAGATGAACGAGCCTGGAATGGACCGCCCGAATTCATCCGAGTAGGAAACGATTCTGCTTTATTTTTTCCCGCAGCCAATATACAGCCGGCGTACTGGTGGTTTAATCACCAATGGGATAAACAGCACAAGCTGCGGCGCAATAAGCCCCACAGTTTTCGGCACACAGCGAACTCTTCCCTCACCGGTGAAGGATGCAGATCGGCGCCCACAGAATAGAATGGATACGAGAGCTTCACTTCCGCTCTCAGGTCCTGGGTGCCACGCCCCTTCTGCAGGGTTGAATTCTAAGTCCGCCAATGCCGAGTGAAACTGTAAGATTTGTTGTGGGGCAGTCCCATCGACTCTCACTTTCCTTGAACCACCAGTACATCTGGAGAATTTGAACGAGCCTCTCTGAAAAGTCAGGGGGGACTCGGGAAAGGGCCCACCTGGGGGCGGGTGGAATTTTTTTTTTTTTGTTCAGGGCTGGGCCTCGTGCCACTCCACAGCATGGGACATTTTTTTTTCTACTGGCCCGTCGGATGCCCTGTCTCGAGCCTCCGAAATTTTGGGAGAGGCTCAATCGGATTCACAACTTAGCCGGGGCCACGTACTGCTGGTTTAACAGGACGGCTTCTATTGAGTCCTGTGGCCAAGAGTTTTGGGTCGTAGATAATCAATCGGCAATGACGTGAAGACAAGTGGGTTTCCAATCCTGCTCCAGTAATTCAGAAATAGAGAACATGACATTTGTGATCGCACATGCTGCACGTGATTGCAGTCCGATTCGTCAGGTTTTGGTCGTAAAAGCAGACACAGGCACTGTGAGCATGCCCATAGAAATCATCATAGAAAAGGGGGGGGAAATCAACTGTGCTTTCCGTACTCTTGAGTCACAGCCACTTTCTTTCCCATCACACACAATCCAGCCTTTTCTATGACGATTTCAGAAACATAGAGTTCAACCCTTTGAAAACCCTCAGAAAATTCAGCCTCTCACAACCTTCAAAAACTTCAGCTTCAAAACTTTCAATTCTGAAATGGGTTAGGTTTCCAACTTCTTTCGAGTCACTTTGAAGTTCGGCAGTTACCTTCAATGCAAGCTCATTATCGAAGACTAGCACTTTTTCGACTGAAAACCCATCCTTTTCACACATCTGGCAAGCACTATCCATATCCAGAGACTTCCTTACAGTGAGAGAGAGAGAGAGAGAGAGAGAGAGAGAGAGAGAGAGA